CCTAGATCTTAAATTCTGGAGTCTGCAAATGGGAGAGGAACAGTGGCAAAAAAATACCCAGACAGACAAGGTGCTTTGGGTAAATATGATGTCTTTTATTAGACCAAGTAAATAGTTGGAAAAATTGTTCTTTACAAGCTTTTGGGTACAAACACCCTTCTTCAGGCACAGGGAGAGTCTGCTGGTGTTTGTGTACTCTCCTGGGTGGAATAGAAGCATAAGCCAATATGCAAAATGCAGGTCTGTGAAATGTGTGGCAGGGAAGATCAGACAGATGGGAGTTAAGAGGTGCAAGACAGGTATAAGGGAGAAAGAGAATGTTGACCTGGTGATAGAATATAGCTGGTAAAATGTAGAGAGTTACCTGGGGTTATCAGATGGTAGGCTAAATATAGACATTGGATTTATGGCACATTATAACTGCATGACATCTGATAACCCAGGGTAACCTCTACATTCTACCAGCTATAGTCTGTCACCAGGTCAACATTCCCCCCACCCCATACCTGTTTTACACCTCTTAACTCCCATCCCTCTAATCTTTCCAGCCACGCATTTGCAGTTTCACAGACCTGCATTTTGCATATTGGCGTAAGCTTCTATTCTACCCAGGAGAGTACACAAACACCAGCAGACTCTCCCTGTGCCTGAAGAAGGGTGTTTGTGCCCAAAAGCTTGTAAAGAACAATTTTTCCAATTATTTACTTGGTCTAATAAAAGATATCACATTTACCCAAAGAACCCTGTCTGCCAATGTCCTTAGAGCAACACAGCTGTAAAAACACCCCTGTTCATACCCAGTTCACTCTTCCTTTCAATATCCACTGTCTGTTCCTGTGTGACACAGGAGACTACACAAGATGGACATATGGTCTGATCCAGTAAATGGCAATTCTTATGTTCTTAGGTACATACAACATTAGGCTGGCCACAAGTGCAAAGTAATTATCACACAATTAACTTGTTAATTGTCCAATACATTTAGACTAACCACCCATACAAAGTAATTATAATATGATAAAAATGGCTATCCAGCAGTAAAAACAGCCAACTAGCTATAAAGGTTGTGCCTGAAAATGTGTAACAACTCTATAGCTGGTTTATATCCAGCTTTAATTTGAACATGTAGTAGGGAGGGCCCTTAGAAATAGCCAGGAGATTTTAAACATAACCACAAAGACTTGTTAGGTATTTAATGTGTGGCTTTCAAATATGGTTCTGGTTGGTTCTAATCATCTCTTCTTTGGCCAGTTAAATCATGCTGGAATCCAGTTGAGGAATGCTTGGAGTCTAAAAAAGATTGGGAACCATTGAGTTAAACCAGTGGTTTTCAACCCTTTTTCATCTGTGGAACCCTAAAAAACTTTGAATAGAGGTATAGACCACTTTGGAAATTTCAAATGAAGGTGTGGACCCCTTTGAATTGTAAGTGTTGGTATTCACATACTTTTGATCATAGTAATCTTTTGTGGATCCCTTAGATGTAGTCTGTGGATCCACAGATTGAAAACTACTGAGTTAGATAAACATTTGTATATGGTGGTAGAACAGGGCTGGACTAGATAGACAAAACTATAGAAAAGTAAGGGTGGAAGACCATCTCATAAGCACTACTGAATTAAGTCCTACAACCTTCCTTAAGTTATATAATTTCTTTATTTTACAACCGTGGAAAGAGAGGTGCAGCTAGATTAAGGATAGTACCTCTCATCATACTAGAGCTGGTATAAGATTCATGAGAGCCCGGAGGACAGGCTAAAGGCCGGGACACTTCCTTCTCTCACACGCACATTATGCATCTTGCACCCTCAGTAACTTCATCAGGCTTTGGCGTGTATGGGCTGCAACTGTGTCTGCTTCCCTGCGCTGCGCTTCCAGGGTACTTTGATGCTGCCCATTCAACAAAGGAGCCAGTGAGGGTGGGATTTTTGAAAACATTCAGTTTTAGTCTAGCACTACTCTCTTTGAAGTTGATAGGATTTCCACCATAATTAAGAAACAGGATGTTCAGAGTTCTGTTTGAATACATTGTAAGTACCCACTGCTATTGGGGTGATGGAAAAAGAAAAGGGACCTCACTAGGTTATCTGGTTCAATGCCCTGCTCAAGGCAGGAATGTGGTTCCTTCTCTAGAGTACTGCCATCTGTGTAAGTAACCCTTCATTCTTCAGCAGATTTGATTTGTTGAGAACCCAATCACTTCCCTAGTCCTGATGGTGCCCTTCCCCTGGTTTAGATTTGCAAGAAGAATGCTGTGATCCGGGATCTCAAGACCCACTTGCACCATTTGGCAAAGTTCTCTGAAAACCACATCCTGCGCAGCAGGCAGGAAGCAGAGAAGCAGCAGAAAGGGGAGCTGCGTACCTCACAGGCAAAGTGTGCCAGGTTCCAGCAGGATATGCAGCAGCTACGAGCGCAACTCAATGCACTTGTCACCGAGAACCGCGAGTCAGAACTGGCTCTCAGAAAGGTACTGAGGGGGGAGTAGTTGGGTAACAAGAAAAACTATTAAACCACTGGGAGTTCTTAATCTTGTCTGCAAGTGTAACCACATGCCAGCTACCAGCCATTCCTGGCAGGATGCACCTGCCGTACTTCTGAACATCCCATCTCTGACCTAACAGTCCACTGATTTCACTGGAGAGCACCCCCACAGCTGTACAGTGGCAGCCATCAATGAAGCCTCTTCACAGTAGCACCCTCAGCTCCCTGGAGGTCATAATACACTGGCTGTCCCCACCATCACTGAAGAGACATTCTTCTAGTGACACTGCTGCAAAAAGTCAATGAACCAGCTGGCATTCATAAAAGAATGGGTAGTGCAAACTGCAAGGCTGGCAAAGCATATTTTGAGAAGCTAGGGAAGTAACAGGGGATCTTTAGAGCAAACAGAGTATTGGTTGGATAGTAGACAGTTTTCTTGTTTCTCTTATTGGTTGTGCAGTAATATCTGGGGGTTCCAGTTATGGAGAAAGACCCTGTACACAATTTTCAGACTTTTTTTCCCCCAGTCACAAGCATCCCAAAACCTTGAAACATGATGCTTCCAAACATAGGGTTGGACTAGATGACTCTTGAGGTCCCTTCTGATTTTCTGACTTTGTGACCTTAGTGGCATTGTTCCTAATGGAGAGTAGCAACATTGTGCAAGAAGCATCTATAGATTTAAAATGAACAACCCCTCTATTTTTTTCAGCCAGTGCTGTCTCTAAATGGACAGTGACCAACTTGCAAACAGAACAAAGATCTGTTTAAGAGATGTCTACTTTATATATCCTCTCTTGCTCTTTCAAAACACTATGAAGTAGAAGGTAAAAAAAGGCTTCATAGTATAGGGTCACGCTCAAGTGAAAATTACTAAAGCAGTCTGGAATCCAACCAATCTATGAATCCAGCCTACGACAGCTTCCATTAGAATTGCTTTATTATCCAGCTTCTATTCAAGCTGAACATCAATTCTGTTTTATATTATAAACTGCTCAACTCAATATATTACACATACTGAGAGAGCAGAGGGAAGAAGAAAGAGTGGATTTACTCACCACTGCAGTCTCCTCTCCCTTCCTGAAAGAATGTACACTATCCCCCAAGAGCCAAGATTTTCATAGTTCTTAGGAACCCAAGTGTAAACAGCTAGGAATTGTTAGAATCCAGGCCACCTGAACAACAGGCAGGAGGCAACCATCATGGTCTGCAAGCCATATGACTGACTCTTTGTGATGCTTGACAGGGTACACCATTCATTCTAAAGTGTGGTCGGAGAAGAAGGGTTCTGGTAGTAGGGAATAAGTTCAGTGAGTGGATGAATTAACTCAATACGGTTCTATGACCTGTGTTGTAAAGGAGGTCAGATTACATGACTGAAAGTTCCTGTCTAGCTTTAAAAATCTATGAGTAGTTCCATGGAGTATAAATACCAAGTGTGAGAGAAACAAAGCTTTGATAGGTCTCTTTACAGCTAACTTGGATTTAGTCATATGCTTGCAGCAAGTAATTTTTGGTCTCATTTCCAGTGGTGTGCTTTGACAGCACCTATCATTAAAGCATGTAGATGCTATAATGAAATCCTGGCTCCCTGCTATAGACTGAGCCTACTCATTTCTGCCCAGGGAAATTATGTCTGTGTGCTTTAAGTGCTGGAGTTAAAGGAAAAAGCATCCCATACTGAGGAGTCTTTCCAAAAAGAACAGGCATTCTCTTCAAGCATATTAGCTCCTAGGATTCAAACCTAAAGCCCCTTTGGTCCTGGAATGTTATAGCTTGTTACAACTCTATATTCAGTTGCCTACAAATACTTTTCCTTGTTATTTCAGAAGAAGTACAAAGTGGAGATGGAAATTGAAAACTGGATCCAAAAATATGATGCTGACATGGGAGAAAAACAGGTATCCTCACTAGTTAAGATGGGGTGGCCAATCTGTAGCATGGGCAGCCTGTGTGTGTGGCACACGGCAGATCAGGAGGGGACAGGCAGCACAGCAGCAGACAGAGCAGGAAGCAGAAAGCAAAGCAGCAAACCAGGCAGGGAGCACAAGGAAATCAGAAATCAGAGCAGTAGATCAGGGAGGGGAGGGAAATCAGTGGCATTTGGGGAAGGTATGGGGCTAAATGGTGGCATGCTTGTATAGTAGGTTAGACCCAGACATTTGTGTTGTCTTTGAGATGTCTGGTCCAGGTGGATCCATCTCAACCTGTGCATAAGCCTCACTCAAGAATGGCAGCAAAGGGTGTGCATGCAGCTTGAATGAGGTTCATATGAACAAGCTATCTAAAAAAAGAACCACCATCAGGTGCGACACATACAGGGTGCACGCGGGTGTACGCACACCCCCTGAGCGTGACGGTGCATCGTTCATAACAACAGTAAGGCAAACAGTTGTTCATTGTCCTACCTTTGTATTCAGCAGCTGTCTATTGCTGACTTTAAGAAGGGTTGTGCCAACTTGAAAAATCCTACAAGCACACTTAACACTTGATAACTGTTCTGCCAGTCTGTCACATGGGTCCCTCTGCTGCCACTGAACAGGGTATTCAGGTTTCCTTCAATCTTCAGCTCTGCTGGTTCCATCTTGTGTATGGATCAAGTTATGCAAGAAGCAAGGATTTCTTAGGGCCCCTCTACACATATAGGTAAAAGGTGCTATGGGATCTAATGTGCAATCCACACAATTGAGGCACAATTGTGGGATCATGCATTAGATCCCATTGAACCTTATCACCAGACAGGGCTCAGAGGTTGCAGCAGTGGCAGCAGTCCCCTGTGCTGCCCACACTAAAAGCCCCATACCCCAAAAGGCTCCCAGTGGTGGCAGACTCCACAGCCAGGGAGGCTCGCAGACAGCCAGCATTCTGCCTGCTGCAAGCCTTGTCAGCTATGGGGCTGGCAGCAGGTGGTGTACCACTCTAGCTGCGAGCCCCTCGGTTGATGGAGTTCCCAGCCACAGGGGAGCACCTGGCCTCATGTTCAATTAATGTGCAATTAAAATAAGCTACAAAGTATTACATATTTTTTGTGGAATAACTTTGTAGCTAATTGCTTGTTTTATATCACACCACTAGTTGGTTGAACTAATAGCTGGGTCACAACTTAAGGCACAATTACTTGGTTAATCACACCTTAAGTGTACATGTAGCAGGGTCCTCAGAGGGATATTTGTTATTAGACCAACTATGTACTTGGGATAAACTTAGACAAGCTTTTGAATGCAAGGCATTCTTAGTCAGATCTTGCATTCAAAAGCTTGTCTAACTCTACCCAACTATATGGTTGGTTTAGTAAAAGATATCGCCCTAAGAAATCCTTGCCTTTCACATAGTTTCTGGGCCATCACAGCTACAGCATCACACTTCCACTCTTGGATTAATGTGCTGTTTCTACCTCTCTTGCCAGTTTGTTAGATAAATAATTCAGAACCTGGAGACTGAAAGCAAATGTATCGTTGCTCAGGTTTTCACAGACATGAAGCATGACCGCACTTCCAGAATCTGCTAATTCCTCTGATGTTTCTGATATTTTACCCTGATCAATACAGGTAGCTTAGTTAAAAGCAAAGTGCACGCTTCTGGAGACAGACCAGGAAGAGTGCCACTGTCATAACAGTAGGTCCTTGTCAGCAGTGTAACAATGTATTAGGAAGCCAAATAAACTAGATACCAAGCTCTGCATCTTCCCAGCTGCCCTCGAAGCCATCGTCATGCAGAAAGGCAGAACTGGATAACTTGGCGTGAATGCAGCTGGCACAAGTGCTGCTGGTTCTCACCCTAATCTTTGACCATGTTATCTCTAAACAAGGCAGCAGAAGGCATCACAATAAGAATTGTGCTGACATTCTCAAAGCAGCTAAGGGAGTTAGGCTTTCCACAACCCACTGAAATTCACTGGATGTTGGGTGCCTGACTCTCTTTAGGTTCCCTTGAAAATCGCAGTTCACTGAGGGCACCAGCTAGCCCTTCACACATTTGTGATGCATAAAACCATCACTGCATAAACCGCCTGGGATCTTTCTGGATAAAAGGTGCAACTTTCAAGTAAAATAGGGTGACATGGTATCTGCCATTGAGAAAGCTATACCTAATACTTGCCATTCCCTTAGATGGAGTATGAGGAAGTTGATGCTATCTATACTGAGGAGAAGGCCCAGCTGGCTCAGCTGAAGGAGAGATATGCTGTACTTGAACAAGAGTATTCCCAGATCAAGGAGGAAAGGAGGATAGCCCAGGAGAAGAAGGAAAGAGCGGAGAGGGAGCTGGCTATCATGATCCGTGCAGCCACTCGCATCCAGGCCTTCTGGAAAGGCTACTTGGTCAGATCACTGTTAAAGTCAAAGAAGAAAAAGAAAGGAAAAGGCAAGAAGGCAAAGATCAAAAAATAAACTACAACTCCACCTTTTTCTCTTCCCTTCTCAGCATCCCAGACACTTCCCCATAGATTTCAACTACCCCCCCATGTTATCATTTACCCTATAGTATCTATTTGATGGACAACCTGTCCAGTACAACAGATAGTTCTTGTACACAAATTTGAGACTGTAGAAGCGATTCTATCATAAATAAGTTTCAACCAAAATTTTAGACTTCATTTCTGGGTAGAAACATCACTGGTCTGAATTTAAAGTGAAAACTTGTGGTTCTGACTGGATTCTGTCAGTTAATGGAAAAATTCTCAGTGGGCACTGAGTTTGTGCATAGGTCCTTAATGCCACTCAGTTTCTCTATCAGTTAGGGATAATTCTCATCCACACAAGGTGGGGGTTGAGACAGTTCACTAACAGTCATTTCAGATCCTTGGATGGAAGATAGGCAAAACATTTTCCTTTGAATAAGACACCCTTTTTAAATTAATTAGTTCTCTCTAAAAGAGCCTGTCTTAAATTCAAGTAAAAAAAATAGTAAAAGGCTTTCATATGCACTGAAGTTGTGTCCTTCTAAAAGTGTCTATATTTGCTGTGTTCATTTTTTCTTAAACTGGGACTCAGAATGTGTGTACATCTTAAACTCAGGGACACTGTATATTCAAAAGAATGTAGTATTATCCATTTTGTCCTCACACTCTTAGCCATGGTATTGCAATGATTGGGCATAAGGTTTTTGATGATTAGAGCAACCAATCATGCTGCAACTCTGAAAAGTGGGACCCCTGCAGGATACGCTGGGCAATCTGGTGGTTGCGTCAGAGGAGAAAGCGGACCTCTTTAACCAATTCTTCACCTCCGTTTTCTTGTGCAGGGACCGGGACTTCCCTGCTGTGATAGAAGCCGGACTCGAGGGGATCGCCTTCAGACCTCAGGTTGGGGAGGACCGGGTTAGAGAGCTTCTGGAGGGGCTGGACGCGTTCAAGTCAGCGGGTCCGGATGCTCTCCACCCCAGGGTGTTGAGGGAGCTAGCTGGGGTTATTGCAGGGCCCCTGGCACGGCTCTATGAGCGATCGTGGTGCTTGGGCCAGGTGCCAGATGATTGGAAGGTAGCAAATGTGGTCCCCATCTTCAAGAAAGGGAAGAGGGAGGACCCGGGCAACTATAGGCCCGTCAGTCTTACCTCAATCCTGGGGAAACTCTTTGAGAAGATCATCAAGGAGCACATTTGTGATGGGCCGGCATCAGAAATGATGCTCAGGGGCAATCAGCATGGATTTATTAGGGGGAGATCATGTCAGACCAACCTGATTGCCTTCTACGATCAGGTCACAAAGGCCATGGATGCAGGTGTCGCGGTGGATGTAGTCTTTCTGGACTTCAGCAAGGCCTTTGACACCGTCTCTCACCCCATCCTAGTTAAAAAACTAGGCGACTGTGGCATCGATGCCTACACAGTCAGATGGATTGCAGATTGGCTGAGGGGTCGCACTCAGAGGGTGGTGGTGGATGGGTCATATTCGACCTGGGGGGAGGTGGGTAGCGGAGTCCCCCAGGGCTCGGTCCTGGGGCCTGCGCTGTTCAATTTCTTCATCAGCGATCTGGATGATGGGGTGGAAAGTAACCTGTTTAAATTCGCTGATGACACCAAAATTTGGGGGGAGGTGAGCACGCTAGCAGGGAGGGAGAGATTGCAGAGGGATCTGGATAGGTTACAGGGGTGGGCTAACAGGAACAGGATGCGTTTTAATACGGACAAGTGCAGGGTGCTGCACTTGGGCAGTAGGAACCAGCAGCACACTTACACAATGGGGAACTCCCTACTCGAGAGCACGGAGGCAGAAAGAGATCTTGGAGTCATTATTGACTCCAAGATGAACATGGGCCGACAATGCGAGGTCATGGTTGGCAGGGCTAACCGGACCTTGTCGTGCATCCACAGGTGCATCTCGAGTAGAGCCAAGGAGGTGATCCTCCCCCTCTACGCGACGCTGGTCAGGCCACAGCTGGAGTATTGTGTCCAGTTCTGTGCGCCCCATTTCAAGAGGGATGTGGACAACATGGAGAGGGTCCAGAGGAGGGCCACCCGCATGATCCAGGGACAACAGGGCAGACTCTACAGTGAGAGACTGCGGGACCTGAACCTATTCAGCCTCCACAAGAGAAGGCTAAGGGGGGACCTGGTGACTGTCTATAGACTCACTAGGGGGGACCAGAAGGGTTTGGGGGAGACGCTGTTTCCCCTAGCGCCCGCTGGCATAACAAGGAGTAATGGGCACAAGTTGATGGAGAGGAGGTATAGATTGGACATCCGCAAAAACTACTTCACAGTTAGGGCGGCTAGGAGCTGGAACCAACTTCCAAGGGAAGTGGTGCTGGCCCCTACCCTGGGGGTCTTTAAGAAGAGGCTGGATGCCTACCTGGCTGGACTCATTTGAGTCCCGTTTCTTGTTTTGGGGTTTTGTTGTTCTCCCGCCCTGGCGGGGGGTCGGGCTAGAAGATCTACTAGGTCCCTTCCGACCCTTAATCTATGAAACTATGAAAAGCCCCTGGCTTTGTCTCATATGCACAGGCCAAACCAAACCCTGTTTGGGTCATGTCCATCTTAGGCCTGAGGGCCCCAACAAATCCCAGTTTTAGACAAGGGTCAAGAGGGAAGTGGCAGAACCCTTCTCACACTCTTCCCATGACTGTGCTGGCCAAAATGCCAGCACAGTGATGTGCAGGCTAGAGACAAATGCATCCTGGTGTTTCTGACCGTCTGCACTCTTTGGGCAAGACTAGGGAAGACAGCGCTGATCCCTTCTGAGGCCCAGATTGTAGATGATTTCCCTGCTCACTTTCTGGCCTTTTGTTCCAACCCTGGTTTTGGAGCCCCTTCAGTTGCAGGCCTCCTGTTCAGCAGAGCTGCTCCCACGGGATTCAAATCCATCAAATGCTGTCTTCTGTTTCCTTGGAACCCTCAAAAAAGGAGATACTGTTCTTTATCTATGAGTCAAAGATTAGAGTGAATTGCTTCCAGATTCCAAGAACCAGCCCAAAGATCTCTAATGTACCTGGCACTGTAATCAAGGTTGAAACTGAGCCAGAGAAATGGGGTGTAGCAATGTCCACCCCCACCCTAAAAACTGCAAGAAACATGGCACATTTTTTTCTACTCCTTCATTTATTTACAAGCATTTAGCACAAGGCTGATACAACAGCATGCCACAATGCTCAATATAAATTAGCTCTTTCAACCTTCAGCTGTCTGCTCACAGCCAGGGCTGGATCCAAACCCCACTGAAGCCATCAGGCCTTCCATTTGCAAGATGATGCCTTAAAAAGTAGGGCTGCGCCATTGATTTCAGGACACCCAGAAACCCTATTCCTTGTCCACTTGCATATTGGTTCTCTTTCCTTATCCTGCTTGAGCCAAGACAACCCTTCACTGGAACCTAACAGGAAAGATGAAGCATGATTTCCTGCTGCCCCAAATCAGGTAAAAGGAGGTTCTCCAACCTGTAGCCACAACACCAGGTTCAGAGGTCCATGGAGACACATCACTCATCTCGCTACATGCACTGTTGGTTGATAAGTACATTTCCATATATACATATTTTAAAGCAGTAAATTCATTTCCAGGGTGGTTTGGGCTGGCATAAGGCTGTTGTCCTGGGTACCCTGGCAGAGGAAGTTCCTAACACACTCTTAGACCGAGCCCTTGGCAGAGAACCCTGGGAGGTTACAGAGGCTGTCAGGGAGCGCTGGTTTTGATGCTTGCCTGTATTTGGACTGTCTGCAGGTAGCCAGAGCTGATCAGAAGGCCTGTATACTTGGGTAAGAGACTGAGAATGGCCCCGGTTGAGGGTGCCTTGACTGACAGAGTCCAGACCACTCTCAGGCCATTTCCAGAAGGAGGTTCTCCCTTCTGTCTCACAATGGCCTAGTCTCTGAGATTTTGGGGTCTTTGGGTGAACAGCTCTCAGAGGGGTCTCCTTGGAACAAGAGGTAAGGTTTGAGGAAAGGCTTGACTGGATCCTGGGAACAGACGAAGGGGTCCACAGGAGGGAATGGAGTTTAGCTATATCTTCTTTCTTCATCCGCGGTGCTGCCCAGCCTGGCTCGTCAGCCCTTGAGCCAAACAAAGATTCATCACAGTAGGATGGAGAGCGACTTTTCAACCTTCATTGAGAAAGAAAGGGGTAGGATAGGGGGAAGAATACAATTACTACAAAGAGAATGTAGAGTAGTGGCCATTGCATGCGGAGACCTAACGATCACTCAGAAGGTACAATTAGCAAGTGAGGCACACTTGTCCTACTTATTTTCCATGGGACTCCTAAATTAGATACTTTTGAAAATTCCACCCAAAAACTTCTTTTTAAGGAAATAAATATTAGGCAAAAAACCCCTTTGTAGTATATTTCTCATCCCTACACCTAAAAGAGCTTCACAAAGACAGAGGAGTCGTTCTCATTTTACAGATGGGAAAACAAGCCTATCCAGACCAAGCAACTTGCCAAGCAAAAATGGCAAGTCAGGGGCAGAGACAGGAATGCATCCAGATCTCCTGTCCTCACACATGGCTGTGCAGTAAGTCAGACTAGACAGCCAGAGCCAGGAACCAGGATGAGCTCCCTTGCCCCCCAGCTATCCTCACTGGCATCCTCTTCATTCAAAATGTGAATGTAGATAACCTGGAACGGGTTCAGAGGAGGGCTACTTGTATGGTTGAGGGCCTGCAGGTAAGATCCTATGAAGACAAACTGAGAGATATGAATCTCTTCAACCTCTGCAAGAGAAGGCTGAGAGGCGATCTTGTGGCTGACTACAAACTCATCGGGGGGGTTCAGCAGGGAATAGGGGATACCAGGGTGCCCCCTGGGGTTACTAGAAACAACAGCCGCAACTGAAGGGGAGTAGATTCAGACTGGACATCAGGAAGAAATTCTTTATGGTGAGGGCTGCCAAAATCTGGAACGGGCTTCCAAGGGAGACGGTGCTTTCCCCTTCCTTGGTGATGTTCAAGAGGAGGTTAAGACAAGCACCTGGCTGGGGTTACCTAACCCCAGCACTTTCCTGCCAGAGCAGGGGGTGAGACTCGATCATCTAATAGGTCCCTTCCAACCCTAGAAATCTATGAAAATCCAGGTCCCCAAACCCACACCGTCCTTCCCAACCCCATTCCTGCTCCCCGCATTTCTCTGAATACCCCACCGTTTCCACGCTGGGCCTTATGGGCTGGGCCCCAGATTCCACCCTGGCGCCCACCCAGCTCTGCCACGTCCCATCTTCTCCGTCTCGCCCTTCTGGGGGCTCATCCAGACTGCAAAGACGGGTCATGCTCAACATGCCCCAGGCCCAGCCAGGCAGGGTGCCAGGCCCCGCGGCCCGGATCACCCAGCGGCCACCCGCGCAACGAGGGCAGGCGGCAAAGCAGTTATGGCGCAACAAACATGGACTGGACACACGTGCAAAGCAGCTGTCACGCAAGTCACGGCCCGGCCCCACGCCGGGGCCCGGCACCGACTCACCGGCCCGCACGGGGAAGCGCTCGCGGGGGAGCCGCCCAGGGCGGCTCGAAGGCGGGAGGGGCCGGGCGGGCCCCCACAGGGCGGCCGAACAACGTCTCGTCCACGTAGGACGCCCTGGCCCTGACCCTGGCCCAGGTCCTCGCCCTGGTCCTACCGCCGCCGCGGGCCGCGCGGACGCCGCTCATCGCCAGCTCCGAGCCCGCGGGCGCCACCATCTCCGCCGCGGTGGGCGGGGCCTATTTCCCTGCAGCGGCAGTGGTTGCGCCCGGGGGCGGGACCACACGGGACGCGCACGTGGTGCCGGCCGCTTCCACTTCCGTTTCCGTTTCCGCCAGCCGTAGCTATGGCCCCACCGCGCCGCCGGTCCCGGCGTCCGTCTGTTCGGGCCGCCCTGGGCAGCGGCAGCGAGGAGGAGGAGGGGGGCGAGTTCCATGTGGAGCCCGAGGACGAGGCGAGCGCGGAGGGTTGGGGGCTGCCCCGGGTAGTGGAGTGGGGGGGCTGAGACCCCCCCCCCCCCCCGCCCCGCTGGTGTGCCGCGGCCCGGGCACAGCTGTTTTGTCTCCTCCCGAGCAGGCGCCCGCCAAGATGCTCCCGGCCTTCCCCACCCCCGATTGCGCCTCGGACGTGGAGCCGGACACAAGGGAGATGGTGCGAGCCCAGAACAGGAAGAAGAAGAAGTCGGGGGGCTTCCAGTCCATGGGTGAGTGGCCCCCAGTCGGGCAGGCAGCAGTCGCCCTGGGGTGCACCAGGTGGAGGAGCGGGTGGTACCAGCCTGATTCAAGGCCTGTACCTTGTTGTTGGCCTCTGGGCTGTTGTTTCTTATAGGGCTGTATTTTGTTATTTTTTGTTAACAGAGTGGGCAGGCCTGTAGCAGGGCGCAGTTCAAACCTCCAGCATTGCCCGGCTTCACAGACCCATGAGTTTTGGTTCAGAGAAACCTCTGTAGTTCCTGCGTTCACCTGAGTCCAAACCATGTTCATGAGCTTTTATGTACAATTGTCAGGTCTAGATGCCTCTTGTCAGTAGGAGCCAGGGTCACCATCTAGTCACAGGACTCCAGGCACTGGGGCTTGAAGAGAGAAGCCCAAGTATTACAAGGCTTGCACTGAACTCACAGGAGGTGTCTGTACTGTGCTTTTGGTCTGCAGTGGGCACTTACTTACATGATCATATTTGTCTTCTAGGCTTAAGCTATCCTGTATTCAAAGGTATCATGAAAAAGGGATACAACGTGCCAACACCCATCCAGAGAAAGGTGAGTGACAGGTTCTCAGAGGTACTGTATGTTCACTGGCTTCCTTAGGTTTCCTCCACAGATTGGTCCAATGTTGCAGGTGGAGCAGGTTCCCCAGCACATCTGGAATAGATTCCATAGGGTGAATCAGAACGGTGTTTCTTGATTTTATCCTTCAGAGCATCCCAGTGATATTAGACGGGAAAGACGTGGTGGCAATGGCCCGGACGGGCAGCGGGAAGACGGCTTGTTTCCTCATCCCGATGTTTGAGAAGCTGAAGGCACATAGCGCACAGACAGGAGCACGTGCCCTCATCCTCTCGCCAACTCGTGAGCTTGCCTTACAGACCATGAAATTCACAAAGGAGGTATGGACCAGGAAAAGCAAGCAGCCCCTCCTGACACAGGGGGCTAGAATATCTAGGAGCCCTCACTGTCAGGGCTTGAGCACTTGTAGTAATACAAGGAGGCAATGCGCTGCAGCCATGGATGAGGGAGGGCTTCTTGCACGACACTTAACCTTGTTGCCATGGGATATCATTGAAGCCAAGAGCGTAAGAAGATTGTATAAGTAGAGTAACAATGTTCACAGATACCATAGTGAGGTTGCCCTCATCCTTTTGCTTTACCTGTGGGTAGTTAAGGTGTTCTTGGTGTTTTGGCATTGTGTCTGCCCTTTGTATGAAAAGACTATTCTCAGTGTTTTTAAAAACAGTCAGGCGAATGCTTGTCTAGGATCGTTAAACAGGGATGATCCTGTCTGGAGCAGAGCATTGGACTGGCCAGCCTCCACATGAGGTCCCTTCTAGCCCTACTTCTTTCAGTTGTATGGGCATGTAAGAACCTAAATAAGGCAGAACTAGATTTAAAAAAAAGGAAGTGGGAGCCACTTTTATGAGCAGGGTATTGGGCAACTATCTGAGATTAAGAGGGAATTTGTCCTTGTTGGCCAGATATTCTGTAATTGTCCATTCTTTGACCCCCTTGCAACATCCCTTTTGAAACATCAGGTGCTGGCTGCTTTCAGAGTTCACTCACTTAACAAGGATCCCGAAGGCCCATCTTTCCTTAGCCTTGCTGGTTAAGCAGGGCTTGGCTGCTGCTGCCACTTCTCTTGAGCACTTCCTGGAGTTGCTGTGTGGGCATCCCATGAGTGACAGGGAGTGTACTTGACCTCTGTGGCAGCCAAGGTTAAATCCAGACCAGCCAGTGCTCTGAGAGAGCAGATGGATCTAACAGTAAGAGGAATAAGACCTGAGGGAAAGTATAGGCAGCTTGATTGCAGTTACAGTCAAGCCCCTGCACCCTGGGGACCTCAGCAATTGAAGATGTTTCATGGTCTTGGAGAGGAGTAGCAGCAGTAAGTGGTTTGATATCAGACTGGGCTTTAATTCTCTTTTGCTTCTTGTCCTGCAGCTGGGCAAATTCACAGGCCTGAAGACTGCGCTGATTCTGGGAGGAGACAAGTAAGTCCATCACACTGCAACCGAACTAATAGCCCTGGTGAAACTGCCCAGGCACTGGTGTGGCCAAGAGATGCCTGGAAATACTTAACCCAATGTTTTTGCTAAGACTTACCCAAGCTGTAGTAGAAACTTGTAAAAAGTTGGGCCTGGCTCAATTCTAGCAATGCATTGACCTGAGCTAAGGGTACAGTGTGTCTAGAGAGCTAGCGACTGGCATCTGATATCCCCTGCATGTAGGGTGAACTTCCCCCGGGCCTTGATCTTATTTACATGTGTACAAACACGTGAGGGTGAGAGCCCCTGCAGGCTGGGGCAGCGGGAATATTCTGCTGGGCAAAGTGTCACTCACTGCTGAGCCTGTTCCTTCCAAGTGATCCCTGAAAGTCTGATTCCAGGCTTGCAGCAACCTGTCCTTAACCTCTACCATAGAACTGAGGATGCAAGGCTCCATGCAGTGTAGTACACAGCCTCCAAGTGATGCAGGGCTGGGTGCCCCTTTCTTGCCTGAGTGTGGAGTCCTGGGGCCATGGTGCATTCTGCTGGCCATTATTATCCACCCCCTTCTCCCTGCAGGATGGAAGAGCAGTTTGCAGCTCTGCATGAGAATCCGGACATGTAAGTTGGAGCAACAAGAGTGGGTACTGTGTTCTCTAGATGTGTGGGCAGGAAAGGGTGGCACAGGCTGACATTGAACTCTGACTGGGACTTTCCCCAGTTTGGGAGTGCTGAGCTCTGAGAGACCTGTCTGTCACCCACATGCACTCCTGTGACCTCCCTTGCTACTGCATCTTCTTCAGGAACTTACCTGGAGTGAATGAGGCACAGGGGAAGACTCAGCTTGGGCTGTTGCCATGTGTCCACCTGCCTCAGGGCTCTTCCCAGAAGTGTGGCCTTAACGTTGGCCCCTGAGAGTCCTAGTTACAGACTCTGAGCCCATTGTGCAAGGTGCACAACAGGCTCCAAGAGTCGGTGTGTCCTGGGCATGACTGCACTCAACCTGGTGTGGGCAGAGATGCCCAGTGGAAGCCAGAAGAGTTATGCACTCACTTTACAGGCCATCTGTCAGAGCTGCCCACTAGGCTACTAGCAGATAGTATTTGATTCAGTGATTCGATTTGGTGATTTGAATCACTGCCCCGAATTGATTCGGCCAAATTACCCAGGCCCATCCCCCTGCCTGCTCTCCCAGCCCTGGCAATGGCTTCCCTGCTGCCCCCCAGTTCCCAGCACTTTGTGGGGGAGGCCTGACTCAGCAGGTGCTGCCAGATGGGTGGGGTGATCCCCACTACCCCGTGCTGAATGGGGGGCTCTGCACAAGCCCCCTGACCTTACCACCCCCCCATGGCTGCTCTGCCCACTGCAGTTCCGGCCCTTTAAGAAAAAAAACAAACTGAGAACCCCCTCATACCTTCCTGCTGGTGGGGGGTGGGAGGGGAGGAGAATCCCCACTGCCCCACACCACATGGGAAGCTCTGCACGAGACCCCTGAGGCTTCTGCAGGAGTGGTGAGTCCTGGGGCTTTTTCTCTTCTTTTTTTTCCTTAAAGGGCCGGAGCTGGCCTAGGTAGGGCAGCTGGGGGAGCGATCAGGGGGCTCATGGCAAAGCCTCACATGCAGTGGGGGGGAGCAGGGATTGCCGTCCCTGCCCAGTAGCACCTGGTGAGTAAGGGCTCTTTTTTTTAAGCACCAGGAGCTCCTGCAGGCAGGGCAGCCGTGGGGGTTCCTCCTCATGGTCCCCGCCCCCAGCCCCTTACTTACCAGCTCCAAGTCTGGCTGCAACTCCCTGCTGTGGCCACCAGGGACTGCCTGAATCCTCAAAGCTCTCTGAATCTTTTCCAAAGATTCAGAGAGCTCTGAATCGGTTTGAACCTTTTAATTGGTCCCTTGATTCGATTATGAGATTTGGCCACAGCATTGGGCCTAATCTCCTCTGAATCGAATCGCCACCTGAAGCTTCGCACAGCTCTACTGCCTGCCATTCAGCACCTCTTAAACACAGCTTCCCATTCAGACTTCTGGGAAAGCCCTAGCTCTCCACACCCAGGACTTCTCTTGGGAGGGACTTGGGGTCTGAATTTTCCCCTTATACTAGCATGTGGGAGGGGGTAATGGGGGAGACCTGGTTGGTCCTACTGCTACCAAAGCAAAGTCCCATGTGGAGAGACCTGTCACTATGACAGTCATCCCTCTGTCCACCATGAGAGCCAGGTTTTGGGGCATGGGTGGTTCCCTGACGCTTGCTGGCAAAGAGCTATGGGCTGGCTGGCTGCCAGGTGTCCCAGCTGCACTCATGGGGGCTGTCTGTTCTAGAATCATCGCCACCCCGGGACGCTTGATGCACGTGGCTGTGGAAATGAACCTGAAGCTACAGAGCGTAGAGTATGCAGTGTTTGATGAAGCTGACAGGTCAGTTTCCTGCCATTCCAGCAAGGGGGAGAGTTTTATTTCAGGCGTGTCTTGACTGTTAGTGGATACTCCCAGGGTCACGATGGAGGGCAGTTGTGCTGGGACCATGCCTCACAGAGAACACT